CTGCATTCTGCATCATTGCTGTGTGAGTCGGAAGAGGGACTTATGGACTTGAGTTGGACTGGCCTTGGAGGCTTTCTGGATAGAGAATTACTTCTTGATAGAAAGCTCTTTCTTATACATGTATACATGTATGAGTGTCACTGGCATTGGTCTAACCTGCTAAAAAAAACCTGTAGCCATTAGCAGTCACTTCCATGTCCTGTCATGGATTGGATTGTTACACTCCACCCCCACCCTCTAAGCACAGATATCTGTTGAAATCCTAACCTATATCTCTGTGGAGTATTGCAATCCCATTCAGGAGTGGGTAGGGTTTTCTTTGTTATGTTAATATGACCATAATTAGCATGGGGTGTGTCTGAAACCTACTCACTTTGGAGATATAAAAAGAGCAGGATTGCCAACAATGAGAATAGAGATACCAGGAGGATAAGGGGAAGGTGGGGGGAGAAAGGGGGAATTGATCACAAGTATCAATATATAACCCCCTCCCAGGGGAATGAATAACAGAAAAGTGGGTGAAGGGCGACAGAGGATGATGTAAGATATGAAAATAATAATCTATAACTCATCAGGGGTCCATGAGGGAGGGTGGGCAGGAGAGGGAGGGAGTGGGAAATCAGGAGCTGATATCAAGGGCTCAAGTAGAAAGAAAATGATGGCAACATATGTACGAATGTGCTTGGCACAGTGGATGATTGTATGTATTGTGGTAAGAGCAGTAAGGGCACCCAATACAAGTATTTAATTAAAAGAAAACAAAGAGCTGTAAGAGCCCCCAGTAAAATGATCTTAAAAAAAAAAAAAAAAAAAGAGCAGAATTAGCACCGAGAGAAAGCCTATCGTTGTAGACTTGAGTCTGGATCTTCTAGGGCAGTGGGGTTTCAGAGGCTGTAAATCTTTCCTAAAGCAGATTGCTGCATTTTTCTCCCTCAGAGTGGCTGGTGGGTTTGAAACACTGACCTTATGATTGACACCCTGATGCTTCACTCGCTGAGCCACCAGGGCCCCTTGGCACAGAGAGAAGCAAGCCCCAGATGGGGGGAAAGATAGATGCATGTGGAGATCTCCAAAGAAGAATAGTAGGGATAGACAGAGCCTTCCCCCTAGAGACAGTGCCCTGAACTTGAACTTCCAGACTCCTAAACCTAAAACTCCGAGAGCTCCAAGGGAGCTTCAGAAAATTCATGAAATCATAAAAACGAACTGTAAACGATAATGGAATTCTTCACAAACTTTTGGAAGGCCTCTCCTATAACCTTATTTTGAATGTTTCTAGCAAATGTATTACATTAGCTATGTACTTTTAAATCAAAATATGGGGGTGGGGAGGCTTTTGTTCTGAAAAATGGTATCAGGGGAGTCTGCTTGTTTTTGTTTTTGTTTTTAAAATAAGTCTAAAAGCCCCTTCTCTCATCCAGATGAAACTTGTCATGACACAACGGGGCCTGGAGCACATGATGTTGAGTGACACTGGTGTATGAGAACAAGACTAGACGAATCAAAACCCGAACAAAGACTTGCACATCAAAGGAACAGACCTTAGAGGGTCCCAAGTGGAGAAGGGCGAAGGTGGGAAGATGAAACAAGGGGCTCAAAGGTTGACAAGTATTGGTTTTGGGGTGAGAGGGAGGAAGGCGGTTCATCAGAGGGAGAAGAGAAATGGGCGGGGGTGGAATAGAAAATAGGCATGGGGGGTGATGAGTGGTTTGAACAGCTGAATGCAGAGTTGTTGGTCTGAAATGTAACCGCACCCCCACCCCAACGAATTTACCATGAAAAATTCATCCACAAAAAAACAGGCAAACAACGAAGGGGACAGAAGTCCAGAGAGGGCTTGTTAAGGGCAGAGTGGGGATCAGCGCTCAGCCTGCCTAGACTTTGGCTCCTTCCTCTTTAGATATTGCCTTGCACACACACACTTTTTCCCACCACAACTCATGAGCATGCAGGCCACAAACTATCTTTGGGAAGCACTCTGAGATTCAGCCGTTGGTGGAGGCTGCTCAGTATCACAGCTGAGCTTTCTCCCTGAAAGGCAGCCCCCCCAGCTGCCCCATTCCTTGCTTTTCTCCCTCCAGGGGTCCCAGGGGTGGCCCTCTGGTGAGAAGCTAGAGGAAGCTGATTGCGCAGCAGGAACAGTTCTTCCTTGTACTGAATATGTCTGTCTTTGGAGTGGCTGGTGAAGGGGGTACGGGTCGAGCAGGAGGCGAATGGGGAACATGGGGAAAGGGCTAAAGCCCTTGGGTTGCCCTTTGGAAGGAAATCCGTGAAGGGTTAGGAGGTGATATGGAAATCCCATGGAAGCGTCCAGAATTGAGTCCATAGGAGACTGAGGGTGGAAGAGGGGCGGGTACAGAAGGGAAAGGTCAAGCGGAGGGAAAGGACTCCAGGTCGAGGCAGTCCATGGGTTTACAGCTGCTCCTGGAACGCTCCCAAACCACACTGACGGTCAGCTCCCAGAGGCTGTCTGGCTGCTGGCAAAGGGCAAGAGGAGGACACGTTCAAAAGACAGGCTGAAGATGACAACGGGGACAGGGGAAGAAAGCCAGAAGGAGAGACCTTTCCACAGAGCCCTGGAGAAGAAGGTGCCCGGCCATTAGGAGCATTTGGGGACCCTCCTTTCTACCCTGGAGGTTCCTTCAGGAGAGTGCTGAGCCCTAGAAGGAGGTCCTTAGGAGATGGGTTGAGGACAAGGTAGGCTTTGGGTTTGATTGGAGGGCGACCCGCTAGGCTGTCCTCCCGCTGTCTGTAGTGACCATTAGAAAGCTCACCCATAGAAATCTGTCCCTCAGAGTCTGGAGGCAGATCTCAAACGGCCCCTGGCTGGGAGCAGCACTGACTGTGAATGAAGAACAAAGCGCTGAAGGTACAAGAAAGGGACAAGCCCCGGAGGCATTGGGCTTGGCCAGGGAAAGGGACTTCAAGACAAAGTGTACTCTCACTCCGTTTGGGCTCAGGTTGACTTTCCATCTGTCTTTGAGGCCTATGGTTGCAGGCCCATCAGGGGTTGGTTCCAGCTGTGTGTACTGCTAGGGTTCTGTCTCTCAAGAAGGGTCTTTTTTTTTTTTTTAAATCATTTTATTGGGGCTCATACAATTCATCACAATACATAGATCAATTGTGGCAGGGGCTGCTCGGCAGTTATGTATAGTTCATCTCACTTCTGGTTGCCCATTATTGACTTTCTAATCCCGAGTCCCCGGCTCCATCTCCAGGCTGGACTTTAACCAGGTGACACACACATGTGCCCATCTACGTCGTCGTTGGTGGCGGCAGCCTGGAGCTGGGCTGGTGCTTGAGTCACCCGGAAGCTGAACCCAGGCAGCAGAACAAACAGCCCTCTCACCAGGTCTTGCCAGGTCTGGGGTAAGAGGCTGCCTGGCCAAACAGAAGGCGTTGTTTGCTTTGTTCTCCTCCCCACTTGCCACATGTGTGGGGATTTTCAGGTGACTTTATAAGAGGCCCCCC